AGCTTCTTGAATCAAATGAGTGGCTAGCAAGCGACAGCGACATCCTTCTGCAGCTCTGCGATGAACAGGCAATGGTGTTGCGTGATCGAAAGCTTGCGGTTCAAGCCCTTTGTAACGGTGTGGTTTCAGCCTTGCAAGCGAGCGATCCCCAGCCCTATCATGTTGATGGGCCTTGATGAGGTCTCAGTGTTGTTGGGCGCTCGTGGGCTACAATAACATTTGGATAGCTCTGCCATCTATTTACGTTCTCTACTAAATATTATCGCTGATCTTAGAGGAGGCCGATGCAACCGCCGGTGAAGTTTCGTTGGGTTTGGTCACGGGTCGTCAACGCTCCACGGCCGTTGATACATTCATCGCTTAGTTTCAAGAACTTAGCATCTGGCCATAAAACTATCATAATCTGCGTCGACCTTCCGATATCGACGATAAATACAATCCCTGCTCACCCTGCGGCATCTGTTCCTCCCAACCCTCGTTAAATTGTTATTTTATCCACTTCTGTATTTCCCTACAGCCTTCGACGGCCAGTCTTAGAACAGAAATGAACGAATTGAACAACAATGGTCTGTACCCGTTGCTTCCATAATTATTTGTGCTAACATTAGTAGACTACGATTTGGATCTCGACCTTCATGCTATCTGGCATGAATCCTCTGGCATACCGACACCACCTCCCTGTCTCGCTACTGATCCCAATGATCTGTGGCAGGATTTTCTTGGCAAAGTCGACCCTGCACGATGCGAAACTCCAGGGTCTTCCTTGTTCGAATGCCTTTTCTACCCCAATATCGACAGTCTGTCAGGCTTCAAGTGGACAGGGCCAGATCCTCTGTCCACCTCTACTCAGGCTAGCGACATTTTCCTCCATATGTCAGCGCTCCTTTTCCCTAAAGACGTGCACTGGATAGAATTTCGATTTGTGCAATTTGACCGGACATCTGGTGATACTATAGGAGAGGATCTGATCTTCCTGCCGCGGGTTGAAACGGCCCTGGGGAATCTCTGTCGGGTGCGCAGACAGCTGCTGGACACAATCACCTGGCATACTGTTCGTGCAACAGGCACTAGCTTCCGACTGTCCCTTTGGCCTCGTACGGAATCTCTACCTTATTCGGGTCTCTCGACACATACTCAGTTGGCTGCGCTGCCCCCGACGCTATCCCTGGATCCACGGATTTTTTTGCATAATAGATCCGGTAATTACAGGTGGGATTGATCCGGATCAAGCGGGATTGTTCGCAGACACATTTCAGTAAAGACCATGATCATGAATCCAACGTTATTTGATGCCCTTCTTAATATACTTTCTCTGAAAGATATAAGCTGCTTTCCATGCGGTAGTTCGTCCTGCACTGCGTCGCCGCTTGTAGCGTTTCTCTAACGCCAAGATAAGACAGGGCAATCCGGAATAGGCAATTCCTCACCATTCTCTTGCTACGGCCGGCAGCCCTGTCAGATTGGGCCTGAAAGGGTGGTTCCAGTCGTCGAGTAGGCTGATCAGTTGTTCCCGGGATAATTCCAATGCCTGTTCAAAAAAGTGCAGCCGGGATAGCTGCTTGTCATGGCGAAGCTGAAGACCGTCCCTCTTTTGTCTCAGGTGCGTACCAGCCTCCTTCAAGATCCGATTGCTCTGCTCTAGCTTATGGCCATCGATGTGCTTGGACACGCACGACTCCCATAGCCGTCGATAGAGTCCGACAAGTCGAGCTGCCGGAAACGCGAA